ACCTACATCTTACTGCTGTTTTGCATCCCTACTCCACATCCCCGCCTTGCTACCATTAGTTTAAGCCCTTTCATCCATAATTATTTTATAATTATAATTATAACTATTATAATTAGGATTTGATGATATCTCGATTGAAGTGTGGAAATATTTTTGAGATTTGATAGTTTCTTGGCTTACTAAACTCTTTTATATTACTTTAAAAACTAAAAAGATTTCTGATGAGTGGAGGAAGATTATTTTTTAGAATAAAGGGGATGCACAAAAGTGAGAAAAATTAAGTTGATGTGTCATATTTTAAAATTATGGGATAGGGTAATTAAACACAGGTTAAGATGTGATACAAAAATTTCTCATAATCAGTTTGGATTTATGCTGGGCAGGTTACTATGGACGCTATATATTTTTAGAGAGGTTTGACATATGATTTTTATTGATTTATAAAAAGCTTACGTAAGTTTCCAAGAGAAGTCCTTTGGAGTGTTTTAGGGAAGAAAGATGTTGATATGACATATTCAAGTCATTGAAGATATGTATACTAGACCTGTTATTTGTGTTCGAACAGAAGGAGGATTGACCAAATATTTTTCTATTTCAATTGGATTACATCAGGGATCGACTTAAGCTCATAAGTTTTTGCTTTAATTATGCATGCTCTTATTGGATATTTACAGGAGGATGTAACTTGGTGTATGTTTTTAGCTGATGATATTCTTCTTGCTGATAAGACTAGAGAAGAGTTTAGGAAAAACTTGAATTATGGAGGTCTACTTTAGAGTCTAAAGGCCTTCGTTTGAGTAGATCTAAAGCTAAATAGAAGGAATGTAGTTTTAATAGTAGTAGCTCTAATGGCAGAGTTGTAACTATGGGTGATCAAATCATTGAAAGGTGTGTTCGTTTTAGATATCTCGGGTTTCAAAGAGATGGTGATATAAATGGGGATGTTATTAGTAGAATTTAAGTTGGTTGGTTGAAGTAGAGGAATGCATCAGACCTATTGTGTGATAGAACTTGGACTTAAAGAAAAAATTTATAAGATGGCGCAGAATGTTGGCCTTTAAAAGAGAAGCATAAAACAAGTGCAAGTGTTGTTGAGATGAGAATATTTAGGTGGATGATTGGCTTGACACTTAGAGACGAAATGCGAAATGAATATATCCCTATTAGGGTTGGTGTAGCACCATTGGCGGACAAGATTAGAGAGAGTCGTCTTAGATAGTTTGGTCACATTAAACGTCGACCATATGATGATTTAGTTAAGAGAGTAGATGTTTTAGATTCGACTTATGTTAAGAAAAACAAAGACAGACATTAAAAAACTTTGGACATATTGTATAAAAATGATCTTAATCTATTTGAATGAAATGAAGATATGACGCTCAATCGGACGGAATGGAGAAAAATGATTCATGTAGCTGACCCCATTTATTGGGATAAAGGCTTGTTGTTATTGTATGGATTGTCAGGTCTTATTTTGGCAATTATGTTAATTATTATGTTTGTTTTCATGTTGTGTCCATGTCCTTGTGCTTGCTTTAATGCTTTGTAGCTTTGCTAATTTGATAAAAGAGCACTACTTCTCTTTTTTTAACTACCTCTTACATTTTGGGTCGTATGTTGTGAGTTACTAAAATTTGGTAAAATTGGTCAAAGGCGAACATATTGTCTAGTAATTGGATGTTTTTATTTAAGGAATATCATGCTTAGGACAGGTTGTGGCAATAGCTGTAATATCAAATTTATGGTCCTCCTATTGTATGCTTACATTCTTAAGGTTTTAAAGCCCATAAAGGAGAAGAAGCTGCAAATATTATTATTACTACTACTACTACTTTTGTGATTAAGATGTTGATATTTTTTCTATATTTATTTTATAGGAGCAAAGTGTCCTCCAACTACTTTATTGTTGCTCACATTTTGGTTGGTATGACTTTGGAGTTGAGACTTCTTAAAACAATTGGTGGTTGCTGTTTAGTTGGATATTTTTGTAATTTGTATAAACTAGTCCAACTAATAAGCATTCTAAATGTTATTGCACAGGCCTTGCGTTTGATTCTTGTCTACACAATAATAAACTTTCACTGTAAGAACTTTTGGGCGGGCTACAAGAAAAAACTTTAATAGTAAGTAAGCTTGGTAAGTTGCATAAACGGTTATGATATTAAATGCATTCTTAATGATATTTAATGCATGCTTAATAATAAGTTGCCAAAGGGGTGCTTATATTATCAAGATTCTGAAGTCTGCGAAAAGAAGAATGTGTTGTCTTTTTAATGAGGGTTTAATATCCCTTTATGAATGCATATTTGCTTGTTGTGGTTACAGAGTTCTACCACTATTTGCCTATTTTCTGTTTGCATTTTGCATTGCATGAATTTTGGGTTGAAAATTTTTACAAGAATCTAACAAAAGTTGTCAGAGATGAATTATTAGTGAAATAATTGGTGGTTGTTGTTTACTTGATAGTTAGTAAGCTCAGGTCTAGGCTTGAAATTTGTTTTGATATCAAATGTATGCTTAAGGATTAGTTTCCCAGTGCATGAATACGTTATTAAGATTCTGAAGCCCTAAAGAAGAAGGCACTTTTTTTTTTTTTGGTTTTTGGTGATTATAGTTTTGGATTTTCTTTTTATGGTTGTTGTCTTTGTATACTAGAGTGGAGGAGTTCCACTAATTATCTAATTTATTCTTGCAGTTTGGGTTATATCTGTAAACTGTTTAATCAATTTATTAGAAATTATCAAATATGTAGAAGATGCCAACAACTCGGGGAATTTTAGATGTACAAAGACTCAGGAACCAATATTGCCGCAACTTGTTGTTAGTGGCCACCTTTGTAGCTTTTGGAATCTTGTTTGTCAGTTGTGTCTAAGAGCATTACTTAAGTTATCACACTTGTAAAACCTTCAATGATATCTAATTATCTTTATAGCAATTACCCTACTATTAGTAATATTCACTTCAAAAATTTTACCTTTCAACTCTCTACCCACTAGTATCCTATCTAACCTCATTCTTGTTGCTAACCATTCCAACATACAATAATTTATATTTATACTCCTCTCTAGTGTCTTTGAAATTTATCTCTTTTGTTTAATTTCTTTTACCGAATAATATTTGCTCCTCTAACTATTATGTCCAATTATTATCATATTTCTTCATTTAAAATCCCATATTTCATGTTGCAAATCTATTATTAGATTTATTTTAGTTAGCATTTTGTTTATTTTCATCATAATTAGGTTAAACTGTTGCTTCACTTAAAGGTATCGTCATAGCCAAAATTTTAATTTTCTTTTTTGTTATTATAATTTGGTTATATTATGATATGTTACTTTCGAGTGACATGTTTGCAACATATTGTGCACTTAATTTTAAATTCGAATTAGGTTGTGATGCATCGCTTTTTGAATTATCTTAATTTTATGGAATATTTAAAGTTTTCTATTCAACTTTTCTAAACTTTAGCGTTTTTTTTTCCTCAGTTAAACGTGCAATACTTTAATATTCTTGTTTAAATGAACTAAGTCCATCCAAAATCGTAATCATATCACTTCAATCACTTGACTAGTATGTCTTTGCTTTATTTAAATTATAGAGGATCACGACGTTCAAATCCAGGTGTTAAATAATGTGATTAGCAGTATCATCATTCTATATGATGAATTTGCCTTCTGTTTCTTGCACTTTCTTAGGAAAGACTTAGAAGTTTTAAAAGAATTTTTAACATTGAACCTTTATGCATACTCATTTTTAAAAAAAATATTTTGAAGTATGAGAATGCGTCAGCATTTGTTTGAGCCTCAATTAGTTTCATTTGATTGCCAAATTGAGTTCTCAGGCTTTTTTCCTTTGCTTGTGGGGGTTGAATTATGATAATTCGGTTCACTTTCCAATATTTTTCAAACTTACAATTGAGATCATTGTCATTTAAGCGAAACAAATTCTATAAATTAGGTTAGATACCTAGTCTGATGTCTTCTGGCAGCAATGCCTATTTTATTGGGATATTTGAAGTTCAAACACTGAGATGAGAGATGAACATGACCATCAGGGCAAGATAAGTATGGATACAATGTTTCTAGTACATTATTAATATAATACACACAATCAAAATATCTATTATCAGTATTTTCTATCAAGAATATTACATGATAATGTGTAATATTATATGTATCATAATAAAAAAAGCTTAAAGATAAAAAAAATAAATAAAAAAAATAAACTAAATATTGATTTATTTATAGTGTTTGTAATATTTTTTTAAGCATACTTCATCCCTTGCAACACACCAAGACCAACATTATTTATTAGACATTATTATAACATTATATCCACACAAAGTATTGAAAAATTCTAAAGCAAGTATACATAATCTTCAAAATACCTATTAACTACTTAAAATATAAGCAAATTAATATTGCTAATTGAACTCAACAAACTTGATTGCTGGATACCCATTAACTATCTTGCTCGAGAAAAAAATTACCGAATTATCTTGTATGCTTTTTTGTGCTGATTTAACCATTTGTTTCTGATTGTCTCTTACTCTTTTCTTGGAATAAGGATTATACATGATTTTAGACGTGTATCAGAGGTCTTTTTATATCTTACAAATGTCAGATACAAACATAAGGCTTATTGAAGTTGCCATGTTCTATAGATAGGGAAATAATAAAAAGCTAATGTTTTCGTATTATGTGTTCCAAATTTTATATGACACCAAGGATATTATTTGCTGTTAATATGAAGTCAATTTTTTTGTGCAACGCAAGGGTACTTTTATTAAATGTTTTGAATTTTGGTATGCTGGGAAATCATGTATCTTTTGCTTTGGATTTCTAGTTTAACCAGTACACCATTATCAATTTTTTGTCTATATATTTAAATTTTCTATTATTTTCTCCCCTGCTTTCTCTATTTTCTATTTATCATTAGTGCGCACTGATATTGTTATTCTTGATCAAGCCTTATGAATCTAATAGATAATGTTGATACAGATAAAGCGTGAGATAAAGATACTGCAAAACCTATGTGGTGGACCAAATATTATTAAGTTGCTGGACATTGTTAGAGACCAACAATCCAAGACACCTAGTCTCATATTCGAGTATGTCAACAATAATGATTTCAGAGCGCTCTATCCAACTTTAACGGACTACGATACACGATACTACATATATGAACTTTTGAAGGCAAGGCTATTTCACATTGTTCTAAATTACATAGTTCTTTTTATTGGGGCTTTTTTTTATCAGGCTATAGAGCTTGAACTTCATAATTTGTGCCAATATTTAACTTTGCAATTGATTTGTTCATCTTAATATGTAACTCTTAAAGTGTTAAAAAGGGAACCAACAAATTTTCATGTAATTTTATGTTTTTAAAGAACAATTGTGAATAGCTTTTTTTGTTGATTCTATGAAAAGAATTTGTCCGCAAAAGTTATATGTGATGGAGAAGTGATTAAGATGGCTCTATTGTGATTTGGAGGAGTTTTAATCACAAAAATGCGCCTATATATATGAGGAAGCTCTGTATATCAATCCTACACAGACCATGAGTTCTCTAGAGCTTTATTTTCTTGCCATGCCCTTTACAATGGGCATTGATTTGTGTTAGAAGTAGCAATGTAGCTACTTAATTTCTTTCAATTATAGTAGGACTATATTAAGTCTCAGAATTAAGTTTCTAAAATTTGATATTGATTATGGAGATGCTTAGAAAAAAAAAATTGAAAGAGAGTGCCTTGTTTTATATTTTTTTTATAGAAATAATTCTCTTAGATGAGCACTCTGTTGAAATAAGCGAAAAGTCATGTTGATGGAGAAAATTCTTGCAGGGAGACTTTGAGTTTGCATGTCAAAGATGATGCATTTGTTAGGTTTAAGTATCATGAATCTATATTGGAATGAATAATGATACATTTGAGGATAGATGTTTTTTAATGATTTTTATGTTTAAAATGGAAGATATGACCAAGTATACCTTGTAATAAGATTATATTATGGAATCTTAAGGTAAATTTTTTATAGTTGCTATTATGTTGGATAGACTATATGAATTTGAGTGTTGGGTAATAAAGAAATCTCTAATAGTCAAGTTTTGTAAGCTAGAAATGGAGATGTTAAAATGAATGTATGATAAAATTTGGAAGGATTGATAACAAATTATTGATGGGATTGTCTATTTTGGAGTTATCCGGTGAAGGTTTGGTGGTTTGGCATGTATAATGGAGGTCAGAAGTTCCCCTACCGAGATTAATAATTAAATTTAACATATAGAAAAGAAAATAACGGCTAAAAGGTAACATTTAGCAGTGGTTTAAAAATATTGCCATAAAATTTAAGTGATGTCTCTTACAACACTCAATAAGAATGAATGAAATAATGATGCATTTGAGGATATATGGTATTTAATGTTGATGCTATGTTTAAAATGGAGGATATGGCCAAGTAGTCCTTTGTAATAAGATAATATTTTGAAATCTTGAAGGTAAATTTTATATAATTGCTATTTTGTTGGATAGACTATTTAGATTTGAGTGTTGGGTGATAAAAAGGTATCTAATAGTCAAGTTTTGTTTGCTAGAAATGAAAATTTTAAAATGAATGTGTGATAAAACTTAGAAGAATTTATGACAAATGATTAATGTGATTGTCCTTTTTGGAGTTGAGATAGTGAAGGTTTGGTGATTTGTGCAAGTTTCATGGAGGTCAGAGTTTCCTTATGAAGATGAATTATGAAATTTAATGTAGAAACTTATAAGAAAGAAAATAATGGCGAAAAGATAGCATGGCAAGCAGTGGTTTAAAAGTATACAAACAAAATTTAAGTAATGCCTCTTACAACACTAAATATGCATGAATGGGATGATGATTCATTAAGTCTACCCTGCATGGTTAGGCCAAGACTTAAGCTGATGATATTATTCCAATTAAATTCAATTAAAAATTGAAAAAGTGCTTATTAGAGAATTTTGAATTACGTTAATATCAACCTTTGCTTTTCTCCAACGTTTCTCAACATTAATCCTTATTTTAGATATGAAAGGCTATACCACTGAGCGTTTGGTGTTTTAAATTGCAACAGCATAGTTTAATATTTAGTGTAATTGAAGAGCTCTCATTGTAATCCTTCTAGAAAAAAGTCATAACTCTAGTTTTAGCTGTTCTTTTGTCAAGTTTATTGTGCTGGCTTGTTTAGATTTTTTATCTCATTTTTTGATTTTTTTTTTCTTGGTTGAACACTCAAAATGTTATGGGCAATAGGGTCTGACATATGACTTTGAAAATCTTTTTAGGTTTTAGCACAGGTATTTAGTCGAGTGTTTGTAAGGCCTTAATTTAATCTTTTCTTGTCAGTATTGTGATTATAACAATCATGATAGCATTGCTGTTATATGCATCATTTTGTAATCTTCTGAATTTTTCATTGGTGTTCCTTATCCAACAAAGTATTTTGTAGTTTTTCTTATATTTAAATTAAAGTTAAGAATCATAATTCTCTTTATTTATGATTTAAGGAAGTTGACATTTGTTCCTGAATTTTTCATTTTTTCGACTGAGATTTCTTATCCACTTCTTCAAATAGTGATGTCAATATAATTCCATTCAAGTGTTTGGACATTCTCCTAGTGCGGGGTAATTAGACATCAAGTTTGTTTAATTAATGTCAGATAGTTTAGCAATACCCTTTTTGAAGGGTGGAAGACCTTAGTGATGCCATTGTTGTTGGAGTTATGCAATTTTCTAATGTTATTTTCACATAATAAGTTTTTATACTCTGAACTTCATGATACCACCAGATTGAAGAACATGCTTGTGTAAGAGACAAGAGTGAATGATTTTGCTTTGTTTCATAGGACCAAAATTATATAAATTGGAGATTGTTATATTACAATCATTCAACTAAGTGAAAATGGTTAGGCTCTTGGTTTTATCAATTCAGATAGCATTGACCATCCTAAGGGCTCCTTCCCTTTTTTGTTTATTTTGTGATTGTGATTGATATCCGATTAGGTAGAAGGGTAAGGAAGAATCTTCTTTACGAAGGTTAAAGGACACAACAATTATTGTGACTATTGTGCAAAGTTATGGAAGATAAAGTGGGTTTAATGAAAGAAATGTGCGATTACATTGGCCCATTTATTTGGTTAAAATCAGAGAGGCACTTTATACATTGTTTTGAAGGGATCTTCATGTACCTAAAAAGAAAATTGAAGTTAGGACATCCCAATAAACACCTCTTCACTGCAAGTGATCCTTCATGCTTAGTGGACCTTTCCTTGTTAGAGGGAATGAACCTTTTTTTTTTATACTTTCACATGAAGCCCTATGTAGGGCTGTCAAAACGACTTGTTGTTCGCGAATAGCTCGAGTTTGACTTGTTAAGAAGTTCGTGTTCGGCTCGTTCTCTAAGTTAACGAGCCGAACACAGACCAATATTCGTTCGTTCGAGTTCGGCTCGTTTTGGTTCAAAATACTACTAATTATATATAGCTACAAACAAACTGCAGACAATTATTGTCGATTTACTAAGGACTCTCCCACAAACATTTGTTTCCATACAATTATGCCACAAAGGGTAACAAAGCTCGTAATTTGCTCAGACTCAATCGTCATTCTTTTCCATTTTAGTTTAGGTCCTCCAAAAGTCTGACATATTTTTTAGTTTATATCAGATGTAATGTAACCACGTCAAACATAGATGTAATATATATATATACATATATATATATACAGGAATGTCGTCGTCCCGCCGCTCTGCTAGGGTTCTGCCCCATGGCGAACCCTAGCATTTTGGTTGTCGCTGCTGCCTCGATCTCCGCTCCCTCATGTGTCCGTGCACGTCGTTGATTGCAGCGGAGAAGACACGACTCTGCTGCGTCGTCTTCGCTGCGTTGTCGACGACTCCACTGACGCTCGCCCGCGCTTATCTCCTCTGCAATCGTCGTTCCTTCGTGCCCAACAACGTAAGGCTTTTCCTCTTTTGCTCTTCTTCGCGCCCTGCAATGAAACCACGATTTGTCTTCCGATCTTCTGCGTCTGCGTCTGTGCCGATCGACATTTTTTGCTGTAGAAATGGCATCAAGGCGTTCCTATGCCACCTCCCTCGCCAGTGATAACCTCGTCTCTGCCCCTCTTTCGAATATATTTCCGCAACGATACCACGACAATTTTGCTCTTGCCACTGAAACTGAATTTCTCAAAAAAGCTTCCCGTAAAAACGACAAACCTGCAATCTTTCTCACTGAGGCAGAAATCTCCACATCTTCACTCTAGCTGCGTTTTGCCGACTGTTCTTAGTTGGTAAGTTTTTTTATGGAATCCCTAAACTTGAGCTAATTCAAAAGAACTTTGAACAAATGAAGCTGAAAGGGAGTTGGAAGATCGGTAAATTGGATGATCGTCACATTCTTATTCAATTATCAAATGATGAAGACTACACCCATTTTTTTGCGAGAAGACTTCTTCGAATAGAAAATCAGGTGATGAAGGTTTTAAAATGGACGGTGGATTTTGACCCTCGTAGTGAACCTCCTACCATTCCTGTTTGGCTGCGCTTTTCAGGTTTGAAGATCCACCTTTTTGATCAAAAGCTTTTCTTCGCTTTAGCGATGGTGTACGGTAAATCCCTCAAAACTGACACACCTACAATGAATCTAACTCGGCCTTCAGAAGCCAGAATTTTGATAGAAATGGATATTACTTTACCTTTTCCGGGAGAAATATGGATTGACACAACATCAATGATTTTGGCAGCAAGCAGAACTTGAACATATACCACTTTATTGTACTCACTATCGTATATTTGGACATTCTCCTTCTCAATGTTATCAGTTGCATCCAAATTTAAAATATTCATTTTTGGATCTGCCCCATCTCATACATGTCCCACCTCCGCTTCTGAGTGCATTCCACAGACTATTGACACTGGTTGACACGATGCCACCACCCCCTCCCACTATCGGAGACAATACTATCTCTATTCTTCCGACTGATATATTGGCAGATGATTTACTTGGGCCCAATAATTATGATAATATTGAAGCTCCAAATCTTCAGGATGCATCAGGTGTTGAAGAGACATGTTTACCCTATCAGAGACATGTTTACCATCTCTTCAGAGTCAGAATGTTGTTACTGCTAGTCAGGAGCTGGAGGCTCATTCTCTTTTACATGCTCAACAATCG